TATGATTGCATGTACTGTACAGATATAATAGCCTATACAGAGCAATGCTTATCATGGTATTTATCATGTTACATAATCTGTATTTTTTTCATTTATTTTTTAAAATTTATTAATTTATTTTTTTGTTGCTTTAAAATCGCTCAGATAACCATATTGGCTTTTACATTTTATCGTATTTATCTAGCAGTCTCCTTATTCTGTCTGCATGACTTTACCATCATTGTTTTGTTAAAAGTTAATTAATTACATTTTTTTTTTTACATATTTTACAAATTTCTTACTTTCTAAGTAACCAAAAGATATTCATAATTGCTATATCATTTTGTTTTATCCCAGGTTCAGTCAAGTAACAGAGTTCAGTCAGTGAATGCCGTGTTAATGTAAGAGATTTTACCCCGTTTTAATTCTCTCCAGGATGAGCTCAACTTGAGTGAATGTGGCTGGGCTACACTTGTCATGGAAACAGATCCAGATGTTCTGAGCACACTGTTATGGATCTGGCTGGAAAAGCTAAAGGTCAGTGGTCACTATGGTAGTTATGACACAATATGATGCAAGTAATAGATTCTGGAAAACAAGACATAAACATAACATGCTTAAGAACTGTTAAAAACTATACTTTTAAGAAAGGTTTTTCTCATTGTTTCGTATGCAGTGTTTTAGCTGTTGCGCTTTATCGTAACAGGATCCTGTTCTCAATAAAGATGACATAGAGAGGCTGACCTCAACCTGGCCTGCGCAAAACCGCCTTATTTCACTGCAAAAGGTGAAAGTCTGAACTCATTGTGACAGAACACACTACAACACATGGTTTGATGTTGAACTGTATTATGTACAATTTGTGAATGCATTTTGTAAGCATAAAACCCCTAGAAATGTCAGTTTAACAAGTTTTAACATTGCTTACATTTCTGTTATACTTTTTTTTTGTGCATCACACATATGACATATTTCACATCTTATACACTGAAAGAAAATAGTAAAATAGTATTGTCCAAATTCCAGTATTTACAACTTGTACAACAATGTACAGCTTCATGTGATTATAATTCTGTGTTGTTTTAGTGTCAGCGGCACACCATCTGCTGTTTGCTGGACTGTGTGGGTCATGTGGCGGTTCAATGTCCTCAGTTTGAACATGCTATACTACAGGGGCTCATTCGAGCTTTAACAAGAGTAAGTGTGTGTGTACATGTGCTAATTTTCCCAAATAAAGAGATAGTAATCAAATAATAGAAGTATTTTAGTCACTTTTGCATGATTTTGTATTACAACAGCGCCATCCAGAGGAGATAGAGAGAAACAACATCTTGTTACGGGTCCTCAGAGCTACAATGAGAGAGCAGTACCTACACAACCACTACCCAAATACTACAACACCATCAAAGTGCTAGGAGCAGTGGTTAAACTAATGAAACCAATAAAGATATCTATAGAAAGAACCATTGTTTGATGGTATAATTGAATGACTGATTTTTTTGAGTTATTGATTTCTATTTCTATTTTTCTGAGTTATTGATTTCTATTTCAATGTGCACATTACTCCTCCTAAATATTTAAACACTTATTATATCATGTATAAAACTGTCTGAATGTTTTTGCATTAGTTAAGAAAATATCAAACCAAGGGGTGTCTGCAAAATGAACTTTTTCCAGCCCTTTTTGCAAAAGAGTATTGCGGTATCAATTAAAACATATTTTTGTGAAATGTTTAGCTTTAAAATGTATTTATTTATTTATTTACATTTTTTCTTTGGAAGTGTCACATCACATAATATATAGTAGGCTTACATAAGATATTTTCAAATTCATCATTGGTTTTCCATACATTTTTCCAAACAACATTTTACAAAACTAAGACAAAATACAAAAATCAAATGGGAAAATATAAATATAATAAAGTGTATTCGAGAAAATGTTCTCTCTTCTTTCTAAACTAATATATTGTGATTTCTTAAAAATCTCATTTTAATATTTTTTATTTATTTACTAATTAAGTGTTGATTGATTTACTTTAGATATGTTTTTAGTATATAACCTAATGGTTGTTACTTTGAAACATTGTTGAATGTGTTTTATAAGTGTTTTAAAGTAGTGTAATCCGGTCTAAAGACATAGGAACCTAATGCAGTATGTGTGTATTAAACTATCATTTGAAATATCTCTAAGGACAGCACTTGTTGAATTTAGTTATACCTTAATTTGTCAAATAATTAACAGTACTGCACGATTAAGCTGGATTTGCATGTAGAGCCACTGGAATGTCAATGAAAACGACATCAAAGAATCTCCATGGAGACGGCGTCATAGAGATTCAAAAGAAACAATTCTAAACAATCAAAAACAGCCGCAGCAGCTGAGAGTTTGATTAGAGCTCTTCACGAGCTACTACATTTATTACATTATTTTACCTTTATATGTCAATAATATAGTTTTGTGCAGATATTGTAAGTCAGCATCGTAATTTTGTCGTTTTAAGTTACTTTTCATCTAAAAATCATCAACGCACTGAACACAATCTAAGAGATAATATTAAATCAATTTTTAAAAGAGCATTTCTTTCAAACTCACCTGGAGATCGAAAAGTCTATTAAATTCACGCACTTTGTAATATCTTGCGCTTACGGTAAGTTACTATTTCGTTTCCTTCGTTTGCTGTTTATATTTATGCTTTTTGCTACAGAAAACATATCTCGCAACAGTTACCAGTTACGGAGCTGTATGATAATTCCATTTAAATTAAATTAAAATTAAATGAGACTAAATGCAAATTAAGTGTTTTGCAGCTGCCTACACTAGCAAAAAGTGTCATGGTAACGTGTTATTGCCTGTCATCACTTCCAGAAAACTACCATAGCCTACTACTTATCTGTAAGGGTAGTGAAGTTAAAGGCTACATTGCATGATAAAATGCTGATTGATATTCATGTGTTATTATTTGAACACTTTTTCAAGTTTTTATTATTATTATTTAACAAGTAGTTTTAGTAATTATGTAAAAAAAAAATCTGTTTTTCAACAGACATCATGTCACCTATGGAAGTATGGGTGGGTCCTTGGAGGCCCCACAGGCCAAGGGGCCCCATCGCTGCAATGTATAACAGTCCAGGGCCAACATATGCTCTGCCAGGGGCAACTGGTACACACACACACACACACACACACACACATGTCTGGTCAGCTATAGGTCAAGGTCAAAGTCAGTTTATTTATATAGCACATTTAAAAACAGCTAGTGTATGCCAAAGTGCTGTACATATACAAATAAGTAAATATAGAGATTAAGAGAATAAAAAGAAATGACTCAAAAACACATAATCAATACAAAACACATTAACATACACAAACATACATTTCGTCCAAAAGCCAAGGAATACAGATAAGTCTTCAGGCGGGATTTAAAAACAGGAAGGGAAGGCGCAGATCTAATGTCCAGAGGTATGCTGTTCCATAGTCGAGGACCGGCTACAGGAAAAGCCCGATCCCCCTTAAATTTCAAGCGAGAGCGAGGTATATGCAAGAAAAGTTTATCAGAGGATCTGAGAGAGCGAGAGGATTGCTGATAGCTGAGAAGTTCGGACAAGTATGATGGGGCTAGATCATTTAATGCTTTATACACAAATAATCAAATCTTAAAATGGATCCTATGCTGCACCGGTAACCAATGAAGAGATGCTAGGACAGGAGAAATGCTTTCTCTCCTCTTAGTACCAGTCAGCAACCTCACGGCTGCATTCTGGACCAACTGCAAGCGATTCAGCGATGAATGATTGAGACCCATATAAAGCACATTGCAATAATCAAGTCTGGAAGTGATGAAGGCGTGAGTAACTATCTCCAAATCCTTAAACGAGAGCATAGATTTTAATTAGGCTATTTGCCTTAGTTGAAAAAAGCTGCTCTTCACCACAGCACTTATCTGTTTTTCAAATTTCAGATCAGTGTCAAAAATCACACCTAAGTTTTTAGCAAAAGGATGAATGTTTGATGACATAGAATCTAGATTAATAGTGATATCAGAGACAGCACCTGGGGGTCCAAAGACAACAATCTCAGTTTTGCTCTCATTTAGTTGGAGAAAGTTTCTGCCAGTCCAGCCTTTAATATCTTCAAAGCAATTAAAAAGGTCAGAATAAGAGTGATCAGAGTTAAGACGGATGTAGATCTGACTATCGTCAGCATAACAATGATATGAAATATTATATTTCCTCATGATCGAACCCAAGGGGAGCATATACAAACAAAATAAGATAGGCCCCAAGAGGGACCCCTGAGGTACCCCATAGGTGAGCGGTGCAGAAGGAGAGGACGAGTGTCCAATCATCACCTTAGCTGATCTATCGGAGAGGTATGATGAGAGCCAATCCAGTGCCGTGCCCCTAATGCCAACTTCATCCCTTTGAAGGGTAGCATGATCAACTGAATCAAATGCAGAACTAAGATATAAGCTTTTGTACCCGTGGGGACCACAATTTATGGCCCCACCGTGACACGAGTCCCCATGAGTCTGTGTGTAGTCAGGTTTAAGTCCCCACCAGGATATATAAACCTGTACACACATACACACACACACACATTTGTGACCCTGGACCACAAAACCAGTCTGAAGTCGCTGGGGTATATTTGTAGCAATAGCCAAAAATACATTGTATGGGTCAAAATTATTGATTTTTCTTTTATGCCAAAAATCATTAGGATATTAAGTAAAGATCATGTTCCATGAAGATATTTTGTAAATGTCCTACTGTAAATATATTAAAACTTAATTTTTTATTAGTAATATGCATCGCTAAGAACTTAATTTGGACAACTTTAAAGGCTATTTTCTCAATATTTTGATTTTTTTGCACCCTCAGATTCCAGATTTTCAAACAGTTGTATCTCGGCCAAATATTGTCCTATCATAACAAACCATTAATCAATGGAAAGCTTATGTATTCAGCTTTCAGATGATGTATAAATCTCAGTTTCGAAAAATGGACCCTTATGACTGGTCTAAATGTTATTTTTAAGTGATAAACCATTGCCCTGCTGTGATTTTGAGGCATTTCTGTGCACTACACAGGAATGAACAACCACGACCCGCGGATGCAGAAAGGCCCAGCGTTTAGCTTCGGCACACGTCATCATGGCTTACAGGCCAACTCTTCCCCAGGTCCTGGTTACCTTGTTCCCTCCAACATCACCAGGGTGGGTCGGGATGGAACCCCTGCGTACTCCGTCTATGGCCGACCCAAGGATATTCAGCCTTTCCAGACTCCTGGCCCAGGTCTTTTACACAACAAAAACACAAGCTTTGTAGCTGTGCTGAAATGTAGTACATGGCAGAACAGAGTAAAGTTAAGCTGGCTTTTGGTTATTCTTTCAGGAAGTTACTCCCCTGAAAATGCAGCAAAGACCACCTATTACTTGGCCCCTGCATTCTCTCTGTCTGCAAGGACTAAACTGTTCCGTAATGATCAAACACCAGGTAGATTCCCACAGATCTACACAGCAACACTACTGGAACAGGTCCATTTCCTGTGACTTTCATGCATTATCTTGTCTCCAGGTCCAGCTGTGTACATGCTTCCCCCAGTATTAGGGCCAAGAGTTGTGAATAAAGCATCTGCCCCAAACGTCTCCTTCGGTGGTCGTAGTGCTATCGGCAGCTTCCATGAAGATCTACGGAAGGTGTGGACGCATCATTTTACAGTATTTACCTCTTTGTATGTATTTTGCAAAGATGATGTTCGTTTTCTCAGACTCCAGGCCCAGGGACCTACCAAGTGGTGGATTCATGCGTGTACAAACACAAGGCCCCTGAGTACAGCATCACCGGACGCAACTTCACGCCTGGAGACATTACAAAGAAACCCGGACCTGGAGCCCACCATCCAGAAAGGGTCTGTACATTTACATTTAGTATCCAAAGCGACTTACAAACGAGGACAATAGAAGCAATCAAACAAACAAAGGAGCAATAGGATGTAAGTGCTGTAACAAGTTTAAGTTAATGGTTATTCGGCAAGAATGCATTAAATTGATCAAAAGTGAGAAGTGGAGACATTATGATGTTACAAATGACATCTATTTCCAATAAAAGTTTAACATTGATAATAATAAGAAATGTTTCTTGAGCACCAGATCAGCATATTAGAATGATTTCTGAAGGATCACGTGACACTGAAGACTGGAGTAATGATGCTGAAAATTTAGCTTTGCATCACAGGAATGTAACATTTTAAAATATATTATTATTATTTTTTTTTTTTTATCTTAATATTACTGTTTTTGTATTTTTGGTCAAATGCAGCTTTGAGGAACATAGGAGACTACAAAAACATAAAAATAAAAAAAAACCTTACCAACACCAAACTTTGGAATTGTAGTTTTTAGCTTCGCAATGCAGTCTACTGAAACTACTATTAAAATAACGAGAAGTAGTATACTAAAATGTTTCCGATTGTTTCTCTCCACAGGTTACTTTCACAGGAACCAAAGCTCCCAGCTATTCCTTTGGAATTCGTCACTCTGATTACATCGCTCCCATAATTGTGGATGGGGCTGATTAAACGGGTCAATGCTGTCCTAGTGAATTCTGTTAAACAAGCTACAGTCTCCCATATCAGGTCTTAATATTGCTAAAACATAACTTGAATTAATAGTGTTTCAGTAAAAAAGGCTCCAAGATGCATATTTGTGCTGTTGCCACAATATGAGAAATAAACTCCATTCCAAAACCAAGTTAACCAAGTCTACCTAGACTAGCATTTTAACAGACACAATCTACTAGTGCTGGGTCTGACTCCACCTTATTGAGTCAGAGTTTATTCCAAATCCTTAACCAAGTTCGAGTCCATGTTCGGTCATAATTGCAGTTGGAGTCCAAATACCCCAACTCTACAATCCATACACGGAGGTTATTCCCAAAAAATAAAATAGAATTGACAGCCAAAACAAGTAATTAAAAACTAGTTATACAATATATATAAATTCTCTTACGTTTACCAAGGCTGCATCTATTTGATCAAAAATACGGTAAAAACAGTAATGTTGTGAAAATATTATTACAATAACTGTTCGGTTTTAATATATTTTAAAATGTGATTTATTTCTGTGATGGCAAAGCTGAATTTTTGCATGTCTGCTCATTACGTTTTGGAATAGCATAGAGTTGACAAACAGCACTGTTGATTACTGTGTAAATCAAGAAAGAAAGTAAATCTTTGAATCAAAATACTTTATTGTTGTCATTTTGTTATTGTTACTTTGCACTTCAGTCATACAACAGCATCTGAAAATTTAAGCTTGGCTCAAACCAAAGCAGACAATTCAGGAACAATATTTACATTGATAGTTCAGTAGTTCATTATTACGTTCTATTTTTACTTTTTTTTTTTTTATATAAAACAGTGTTTTTCTGGTTCATGCCATAATACATTTAGTGAGTCTTTCTTAATAAAATACACTTTCTCTGGGAAAAACTTATGCAATCTTACTTCAAACAATATAGTTTGTCAGGTAAATATTTTAAGCATTCTTCACTCAAACACAACAATGATTCTGGTTTATTTATTTTTTGTAGAGTAGGTGGATTGAACATTTGTAGTCAAGCAGTACCTTTTTACTGCAGTACTGTACTTGCTACTGTTTCCTTAGGATGATTTTATATTGCTGTATTATTGATATCACAGTTAACCTATCAGTTTAACTTCACCAGCTTAAAAGTAGTATTGGCTCTAAATGTGTGTTTCCACAGTTGTCTTTATCGGTATGATCCTCATTGGATGTTGCATACAGTGACTATAAAAGTAAGGGAACACTCTCTCAGTGAACGTGTGTTTAAACACATGCAGGCCGATATTACGAGCTGAGTCAGTGAATGTGACTTTGCCCTTGTCCCAGTCCAGCTGCACCTTGATCCTCTGAATTCTCTGGGTTACCCGTAGAAGGGTGAGGATCTCTGGAGAATAGCCCTTCCCATATTTACCATTGCAGAAGCCCACATACCACAAGCCCATTTTGGAGGGGGTCTGTCTGTGTTTGTACGCAGACTCTGTGATCACTCCCACGGCCCAGGCTGTGCTGTCGCCCACCTCGATGTCCCAGCAGTGAGTCCCCGAGTTAAAGCCCTCAGAACCTAGAATGCTTGTGTAGCCGTCGAATCTCTCTGGGTTTGCTGGAAGCTGTTGGAAATGCTCGTCAGTGTAAGTTATACTGGTCAGATCATCCGACACGTTCAGATAAGGATGGGCGGTGTTGGGGTCAAAGGTTACTGGGGCTGGAGAGAAAGAGATTACTTTTAAGACACACACACACACACACACACACACACACA